AAAAAAAAAAAAAAAAGAACCCAACATTTTCTTTTGCTAGTACAGGATTTTCTATCTGAAAATGACAAAGCTGTTATCACTAATAGAGGATGAATATTTAAACTATAAACTTAACTACACAGGACCTACATCATATAACTGATAGACTTAAAAGTATTTCAAACACCATTCTTTCTATTCACCCATAAAAACATTTCCCTAAAGTATTCTGTTTTTTTTTTTCCTTTTTGTCTTTTTCCGTGTCCGGCAACGGATCGCAACCCTCAGTGTCGCCCCCGTACCGGACCGGGACAGGCAACGGGATCGCAGCACTCGGCGTTGCTCCCGCGCCTCGCTCAGCCAGTGAGCGGGAACCGGTCTGTATGTGGGATCCGAACCCTCAGCGGGAGCGCCGCCGCACTTCCCAAGCAGTGCACTATAGCAGTGCGCCACCGGGCCGGCCTGCAAGGATTTTATATTTCATGTGAAGTGTTTTTTTTTTTTTCCTTTTGTCTTTTTTACTGACCGGTAACGGGATCGCAACCCTCGGTGTCGCGCCCGTACCGGGGACCGGCAACGGGATCACAACCCTCAGTGTTGCGGCCGCACCGCGCTCAGCCAGTGAGCGGGAACCGGCCTCCACATGGGATCTGAACCCTCGGCGGGAGCGCCGCCACACTCCCAAGCGGCGCACTCTCCAGTGCGCCACCGGGCCAGCCCATGTGAAGTGTTTTAATAGGTGTATTAGTCCCTTTCTGTTGCTGATAACAGAGTACCTGAAACTGGGTAATTTATAATAAAATGAAATTCATTTCTTACAGTTTTGGAGGCTGGGAAGTCCATGGCCGAAGGGGCACATCTGGTGAGCGCCTTGTTCTTGGTGGGGACTCCCTACAGAGCCCCATGGTAAAGCAAGGTGAGAGTATGGGAAGAGCTCTCTCATGTGCTTTTTATTAAGCCACCAGTCGACACCCATGATAATCATTACTCCCAGAATGCATTAATCCATTCACAAGGGCACAGTCCTCTCAATCCACTCACCTCTCAAAGGCTTCACCTTTCAAATATCATAACTGGATTTCCCATTCTCTTAACTTTGTTGCAGTGGGAGTCTAGTTTCCAACACCTGAACTTTTGGGGGACACGTTTGACCCATGGCGGTAGGGTTTGAAAGACAGTGATAAGTTAAAAATGTATAGAATATATTCAATCAATTGAAAAGAAAGCAGGATAAAAGATAGAGAGGAACAAAGAACACGTGGGACAAATAGTAAACAACAACATAGTAGGCATAAGCTATACCTGTATCAGTAATTACATCAGATATAAATTGGTGTCTTACTCCGTTTGGGCTGCTATAACAAAATACCATAAACTCAGTAGCTTATAAACAACAGAAATTTATTTCTCACAGTCTGGAGGTTGGGAAGTCCAAGATCAAGGTGCTAGGAAATTAGGTGTCTGGTGAGGGGTCACTCTCTGGTTGATAAATGGCTCCTTCCCACTGCATCTTCACTTGGTGGAAGGGGCAAGGCGGCTCTCTGGGGCCTCTTTTGTTAGGGCACTAATCTTATTCATGAGGGTTCTGCCTTCATGACCTAATCACTTCCCAGAGGCTTTACTTCTTTTTTTTTTTTTTTGTCTTTTGTCTTTTTCCGTGTCCGGCAACGGATCGCAACCCTCAGTGTTGCCCCCGTACCGGACCGGGGACCGGCAACGGGATCGCAACCCTCGGCGTTGCCCCCGCGCCTCGCTCAGCCAGTGAGTGGGAACCGGTCTGCATGTGGGATCTGAACCCTCGGGCGGGAGCGCCGCCGTGCTTCCCAAGCAGCGCGACCGGGGACCGGCAACGGGATTGCAACCCTCGGTGTCGCTCCCGCGCCTCGCTCAGCCAGTGAGTGGGAACCGGTCTGCATGTGGGATCTGAACCCTCGGGCGGGAGCGCCGCCGTGCTTCCCAAGCAGCGCACTTATCCAGTGCGCCACCGGGCCGGCCCCAAAAGGCTTTACTTCTTAATACCATCACCTTGGCAGTTACGCTTCCTAGTTCATTTTATTAAAATCAGACAAAGACATTATAGAAAAACTATAGACCAACATTCTTTATGATCATAGATGAAACAATTCTCAACAAAATTTTAGCAAATCAATTATTTTACATATAAAAAAAGATCATATATCATTACCAAATATGGTAATC